TTAGGCAAATAGGCAAGTATAGGTTCGTTAAGCAATTTTTGAACCAGAAGAGGTAAAACACATGGATATATAAAAAACATTTTTAATTTTCTCTAGTAATAGAGAATTTTGCTGGTAATTGACTTAGATGCAAAAAAGATGCAAGCCTCTAAGAGAAGGGTAGAATCTAAATTCGCCTTCAAAGCTTGGGTGAGATATCAACTACCACCTAATTTTTTGATCTATGATTTCCACGTATTTGGTGCAGTTTTTTTAATTTCAGTTGTTAAATGTCGTAAGTAAAATGTGATTGTATATGTCATAGTTGTAGTCATGTAGTTGTCAAGGATTTGAGATAGCTAAACTATCTCAAATTTTTCTTCAGAATTCTTTCGTCCACTTGAAATTTTGCTGGGAATGGTGTCTTTAAAATTACGATAGATATTTTGAAGTTAAATATATATTTACAGCTTCAAGATTACTACGTTGATATTTTTTTAACACTTTTGATAAATAATTCAAGGATTGTAAATGAATGAAAAAATTATAAGATTTTAGGTTGCAGATCTGTAGAATAGTCTGTAGCTAAAATATTTTAAGCCATTAGAAATTAATATAATAACTTTTTTAACATTATCACTTTTCAAACTGTATACTACTAAACTAAAGTATTGTAATTTTATTACCTATTCCCAAATAAATAGCTTTAATGATTTTAACTATTTTGTCTCATAATTATTTATGAAACTAAAAGTCTATGCTTTTATTCATACGAGTGCCAAAAACTTTATTTGTATTTTGCAAAATATACTTCCTCAATCAGAAATAGATTTTATAAAGCATCGTGTGATGGCTGAAAGACTAATAAATAAGTTATTTTTAATAACTTAAGAAAAATACAATAAAACCAAATTGTTTTTAACCGGCTACAATAAAAAAGAATAACTGATATCGAATCGGATTGTAAATGCATTTGAAAACGAAGTTTATGTATCAGTGCATAATGTTTAAACTAGTATTGCAGATGTATGTAATTTCCAATAATAATTATGTATGTTTTATACCTGTATATGAAGGGCCAATATTGAGTAATGATTTTGTCAGAAAAAGTACTTTTTATAGATGAAATTTTTGACTCATCAAAATGTTTCATTATTATAATTTTATTCTTTTTCTATTTTACACTTGAAAGTGAACAGTTTATAGCAGCAGTCTCAACAATATTTTTTTCTCAAATAAGTAGAATTTACATAAAAATTAATCTAAGTCTAAAAAGGGCCTGCCACAAATCTAGCTTCATGGTATACTATATCACTTCGTTGTAAATTGAACTCCAATGCATCTGTACATATCCGTCAAAATTGAAGAAGTGAATTTTTCGACTAAACATATAATTTATCTATTTTTAATAATTTTTTTTACAACTTTTAAGCAAAAAGAAATATGCTTGAAAATCGCAATTTTTTAGCCTATGCAGTGTTTTCTTACCTAAAAAATAAGAGAAAATAATGTTAAAAATTTTTTTTGCTTGAATTTAGCATTAAAAAATTTAAAATTTGTTTTTACATACCTTGCCAAGTTATCTAAACTATACAATTCTGTTAAATGATTTTTTTAAATAGATGAATTGGTGCATATGTTTTACTTTATATATTGTTCTATAGTTTTGTATTTTCGGTCATATAAAGTATTTTTTGTACATATTTACGCCTTTAATCCATTTTTAATATTCATATATATATATACATGTATTATTGTCGCATTATTGTAACATATGTGTTATTTACTATTACTACTCTTAGATGTTGTTAAAGTCATTCTTTGTTTCATTATAGTGTCAAATATACAAAAGAAATGCACTTTGTTGAATTGCTAATTTATGGCAATATTCAACTTTTTTGTGGCTTTTGTTGCCTTAAATACATGTTTGCAAATTTTGATGCTTTAAATTTGTATTAATGGTGTATATTTCTGTATTTCAAATTCTATTAAATTACATCTAAGAGTAATTTAGTTTGTCGAATTTCTTTTAATAAGAAGCAAATTTCCTTACATTAGACTTTGAAAACAAAACATTTAATTTTTCGTCAAAGTATACATTAATATCAATTAAAAATCTATTTCCTCAAAAATGGATGAAAAATGTTTATTTGCTCACTATGAAGAAATAGGCAAAATTTACAGAAAGAAACTCAGAATTTTTCTGTTGTGCGTCGGTAGCGATTAAAGAAAGAAAAGATAAAAAATCCGTATTTGTGTTAAAACAGTTTTTTTCCATGAAAATTATATTTTTTTTCTACATCATTTACAATTTTATTTTACAGTGCTTATGTATTATTTTAAAACTCATTTTATCCTAAGCGAACTTCAAGTAGTCCTTTTAATAATTCAGCGCATTTAATGACTTATGACCTAATATTTGAACATTTTTGTATTCTGACGCAATCTTAATTATTCAAGGAGTAAATGTACTTATTAGTTTACGTGATTTTAAGTACTAAACCAGACTCAAAAGCGCACTTTTTTTCTCAAGCCTCTTTGAGACTAATTTATGCTCAAAATAGTTATGGGGTAACACTCATTTAGAAAATATGATCCTTTTAGTTTTTACAGGAGAGCTTAAATGCTGGTCCTCTTAAAGTAATTTTACTTTTTATTCGTTTTTTAATGAACTTTTTTTTTATACGTCTTTAAAATTAGATTTTTGACTGACTTTTCCATGAAAAATATTTTTTTAATATTTAAATTAACAAAGATTTGAATTTTTTTTAATGGTAAGCATCATGGTAGTTTCTTGAAGTAAGTTGGAGGTAGGCATTATTAGTAGAATATTTATCCTGAAGATGATGATTAACATTAGTTGAAGAAAAATTGGTTGTTTTTCGTGGGAAATAGTGTTTGACGAAACATATTGATGAATCATTGTCATTATTTATTTGTCCAATTATTGCTTTCTCCAGAGAGACAAACTCTCCATGAAGACAAACTGTTACACGGGAGTAGGTTCTCTTATTGGGAGTAGTGAATTCGATGGTGAATGCTGTTAGGGTCTAAGCCCAGGGAAGAATCCTGGTCAGGTTCTGTGGTCGAAAATCTCAAAAGGAAAGACTAACTTGGAGAGGCATCTTTTATTTTTCTTCAGTAAGACATTAGTGACTTCGAAAATTCTTCGGTAAGATATTAGTGACATTGCAGAAGGTATGGCATTCGTATAATGGCAAAAGGTAAGTTACCCCACGTGTGAATCCAGGCCCTCCCTGTGTGCTTTAGGGAGAAGATATCAAAATTATTTATGTATTATCATGTTGTTAAAATGTAGTTACAAATTTAAAACAATTAATATTAAAAGAAGGTAGTTGCAAACTGATGAAAAAATAAATGAATACGAGATCCACAATCTGCGAGCACACACAGGTAGAGTGAAAAAAATGCAGAAAAAAAATCAACCTTCAGTCAACTCTCCACGGGGAATACTGCTTTATCTCCAAATGATAGCGTCCCCTCTTTAGCGCTTGCGAGAATCTCCACAGTCAATACGCTAGGCGCTGAGCCCTAGATATTTCGCAAAGGCCAAAGACAACCAAGAGGTCGCTTCAGTAAGAGAAAGGCCAGTAAACAAATGGCACAACAAGCATTGAGATAATCACATCATAAATTCTCCCCTTAAACGGAAAAAAAACCTAACTTACCCCCTTAAATGGAAAAAGACCTAGCTGACTAAAATATCACATATACACTTTGAAAAATTAAAAACACTTTTATTGTAAGTCATGCAAATATATATTGTCGCAACTTGAAATAACATAAAAAATCTAGGAAAAAGAGTTATTTTTTTGTTGACATATTTAAATTTTGATAATAATGAATTGATGACAAGTCAAACATAAAATGCTTATGTATGAGTAATTATGAAAACCATTCTTAACTGTTTGTAGTTTAATTAATATGATTATGTTGCGGACTCTGTAATGATATTAATCAAGCGTAGGTCAAGGGCCAGTCTAAACTTAGTATGGGCATTAGGGTCTTTAGGATTAACTACAATTAAAGGGCAAGACCAAGAAGAAATATTACGTTCTATTATACCTGCTTCACTTAATTCCATTAAATCTTTTCTCACTTGATCTTGTATAGCATTTCATAGGATTTTTTGATTTAAATATGATTTGAGGGTAAATTATATTTGAGTGCCCGAAAGTTTTAAGGGATTTAGAAAACACATCATATCTTGAAATTAACAATGGTAACAATTTCTCTTGTTTATCAGATGGAAAATGGGCAAGGTCAAAATCTTCATTCTTTAAATCAAATTTTCTCATTTCAAGAATGTCTTGTGTAGTAGATATCAAATTGCAAAATTCCACATCCTCTTCTAAATCATTAATACTTTCTTGAGAAGAATTTTCGTTAAACTCAGGATTAAAGAAAATATTGCCAAAGTTAAAGTTTTTGTTTATGTAGATAGCTTCTTCGCCAATATTTTTAACAATAGCAATAAATTCAGATTTGTCACGATTATCTAAAGAGGGAAATATTTCAATGTTTGCATTATTAAAAGTAGATTCGAATAAAAATGTTTTGCCCTTATCACTGAAATTTTTAATTTTTAAAATTATCTGACCTGATTGTTTTGGCTCAATTACTGATTTCTCATTCATAATAGCCTTAGAAATTAGTGCGAACAATATAAATTTTTTATTATGATCGAAAATTTTTTTTAATAAATTTGTCCTAATTTTTAACAATTTATGTTTCATTATTTTTACTAGTTCACATTTTTAAAAAAAAAAAAAAAAAAAAAAACTAAGAACTAAAAAAAATAACAATAATTTTCTACAACTTTGGTAAATAGTTTTCTTGAGGAAAATAAAATTTTACCTTTAGAAATATAAATCCATGATTTAGCATCATTAAAAATAAATTTGATTTTTCTTACATATGCATTTCTGAGTTCTGCAATAGAAATAAAAAACTGTGCAGAAATCCAGGATTTTTTATTAAGAGAAGTAAGTATGACTCAGTTAGAAATGATGCTCATAACATTTATTAACTAATTTCAATTTTTAATTTAATACATTTCTTACAAAAAAAGACATGAAAATAAGTAGAAGATTAACAAAAAAATATGAGGTGAATAGAAACTTAGCACACTTTACGCAATCATAAATTGGCAAGTTGTTAAATAAGTTTCAATTGAAACTATGAAGTAGAAACTTTATAAAGTCACTATTGTTCAAAAAGGAAAAAAAATTGAAACTTCTAGAATGTTTGAAGTTTTGAATTTTAAAGAAAGAATTTTTTTTTTCTTCCAAAAATGAGTAAAACAATTGAAGATTTGTGTGTTTCATGCCATGACAAACACACTACCATTTCACTTTTTCTGGTGAGCGATGGCAGTTTAAGTAAGAAAACGTATTTGAATCAATTTTTTTTCTACCCGATACGAAGTCATGCATATAAGAAAAGCATTCAATAATAATAAATATTGAATACAAAGTCAAATTCAAGATTAGCCACTCTGTACTGGCGTTTAACTGATTTTTCCACACTGTAAAGGTGCCTAAAATTAATAAAAGGTCAAGAATTTTTTCTCTTTCTTTTCCAATTACAGTAAACAGAAAGATATTATTTCTGAATCAAATATAAAAAAAACTTCACCTAAACATAACTAGAAAAAAGAAATACAAAAATGGCAGCAAAAATAATAATTTGATAATTAACCGCATATTCATCAACTGCTTTTTGTTTTCTGTTTTCTGATGTCCTGGTCTCTGCAAAGGAGTCATTATTCTGTCTTTATAAGTAAGTATTGCATTTCTTGCTCCATCCCAGGAATGAGGTCCTTGCAGTCGGTATTGGTAAGAAAGAGAAGGTCCAAATAAAAGAGCCCAAAACAATTTGGGATCAGTGAAAGCTATTTTCCAAAAATTAGGCTTAACTCCGATTTCTTCTGCAAGCTCATCTTGATAAGAAATAAAATCAACTTGCAATGTGTGTCGTGGGGAATCGACAAATCTTCCACGAATCCATTTCAATCTTTCATCGATGTCAGCTATCATCTGTTCCTTAGATGGTAGTTTGAGTTTTCCTGACATCACCCTACTAGCCCATCTGCATTGCATTTCACCAACAGGAAAACCAGGACCATTTGGTTGTACTAAACCTAGGATGGCAAGAGTAGGATGTGGTAAGTGTGGTGGATACATAAATTTGTAAAGTTGAACTTTGTTATCAACAACTCGGACTATATCGTCACTAAGAAAGGGAAACATCACTTTGTATCCAGTAGCCAAAAATACAGTATCCGCTTCTGTTTCTTCCTAAAGGAGATTAAATATTTAATGTAGTTTCAAGCTTTATAAATCCTTAAACAATAATTCCAGGATCATCTGTAAATTATGACACACTTTAAAAGGAAAACAGGATCCAATTTTTTCAATACATTTGAAATAATATTAGATATGTAATAAGGCATTATCATTAGTCTTAAAAAAAACTGGTTTTGAAAATTTTCGAGTAAAAAATAAGTCATTAAAGTGCATTTCCACATAAAAATTAAATTCCAACAAATCATTTTTCTTATGTTTGCACGTGTTTTGAGGGTTTATCGTTTGTGCGAAACATTTTCCAATATAAATTAAACATTTAGAAATCATTGAGTATTAATGTATGAATGGAGCAAGAGCTGAAACAGGTGAAATTTAAAGTTGGCGAATTTCGTTTTAATTTGCTGTTTTCTTTTCAGAATACACATAAGTTTTCTCGACCTAGTAAATTTTGATTGAGAATTTGTTTTATCATTTCTTTAGGTATCTGTAAAGTCTTCCCCCCCTTTTTTTTTTCTCCTTTCATTGAATTCAACTCTTTGTATGCATAGTAAAACCTCAATTATCCAAGCTTCTTTAATCCGAATACTCATGCTAGCAGAAGTTGATTCCAAAGTGTTTTTCTTTTAATGACCGTCCATAAATGATGTCTCGCTTGTAGGAAGGGAATTAGGAAGATTCTTAAAATTGTGACAATTTGTGACTAAGGGGGGAATAAAGAAATATGGTATCACACATTTAGCTTAAAACTAAATTTTGATAATTTTAATAATTAAAATTTTAATTTCAAAAATTTGAATAATAAAATTTAAATATTAAATAAGGAGATAAATAATTTTATACAATTAGTTTTCAGATTTTTTTCATCAAAATAAGTACGTATCTAAGCATTATCATACTCACAAATTTTATTAAAACACATAGTTAAAAATTAAAAATAAAATTCAATATATGACCAATAACATGTGCCTTGTATCTGAGCTGCTAGTACATTTTTATGTAATATAGAGTAGCATGTCACGAATGGGAATAGGGGTAAGTGTGACACTTAGTGACAAAATATAGGAATAGGGGTTAATAATATTAAAAATAGTGGGGCATCATTTATGGTCTGTTCCTTATATGAGAGCATAGTTTTTTTTTTCATTTCTCGACTCCAATGACATTTAGATGTGATAAAGTTACACAAAAGGTATCAAATTATAGGACAACATAGAATTAATCATTTTACGCGAGTTGCTTTCTTTGGTTCTACTATAAAAATTTTTGAAATTTTCATTATTTGATTCGTATTTTCATCATTACTTATATATACTTTAGTTTGGAGACCATGGCTTCCACTTTTTCTAAAGGAAAGCGTTTTGTGTTATCTGTGCGAGAAAAATAAATTATCATAGTGTGAATAAAATCAAGAACAAGACTTGCCAAGCATAAAAAATAAATCCATAGAATCAGTAAAAAATTCAATGAAATCAGCCTACGAATTAGAATTACACGATTATTCGTACAAATAATTTATTCATCAGGAATATCGAAGAAAATATCTTAAAGGCGAAGAAAATATCTTAATACCACTTTGATATAAAAACTATTTACCAACATTAAATACTATATAGCACTATTATTAAAAGAAAATTGATTTTCTGAGTTCATTGATGAAAATAGATTAAACACGGATGTTACCTTCAGTTCGAGTATTTTCGAGTTTCGGCCTCAATTCAATTATCACTGAACAACTACTTTTTGATAAAATTGCCGTTGAGCATAAAATGTATGAAGTCGTTACGATTTTTAATAGCTTTAAATAAAAATAATAATCTCATATTTTTAAGGGTTTCGTACACGTAATAACCTTGAGTGTGATTGTCTTATTAAAAATGAATCTGACATTCAAGTATTAAATGATATAATAAATGAAGAGCTAATCAGAAAAACATATAAAATTACATAATTACACCTTGAACGTACTCGAACATGTAAGTCAAAGAACAGGTTTTTGGTTGTAATCAAGCACTGTAAAAAAGTTTTAGAGTGTCTTAACACCAAAAATTAGTATTGGGAAACATCACAGATAACTCTTGGTTCTTGGTGTTCCGCTACACTAGTTCCTGGAGCAGTAAAACACCAAGAATGTTCTTTTAAACCACTCAGTGTAAGTAGTTTACACCATTTTTGGTATTCAGTAACACTTAAATTTATAATTACACACAGTAAGAAACAATACATAACAACACAGATAACATTACAGATAACGCTTGGTCTTTGATGTTCCACTGCAACAAGAACCAAAGATAGTTCCTGGTGTACTAAAACACCAAGAATGTTCTTTTGAACCACTTGGTGTAAGTAACTTACACCAGTTTTGGTATTCAGTGACACTAAAATTTATAATTACAGTCAGATATAATGCACCTAAGAGTCAAAGTTATTTTAACGATAAAATATAAAACAAGAAACATCAATTTAGGAAGTATATCTGCTGCAGAATTCAAAATAAAATTAGTTTTAAAATCAAACATACACGTAGCACAGAGAGAATATTAAGATAAACTTGAATTAGGCTTACCAGAACTGAAGGGGATAAAAATAAAATTATTATAAAATTATTTAATACAATTAACAGGTATTAAAGAATTAAAATATAACTATCCTTATTACACAACTAAAAATATACATATAGTATGTTTTTGTTTACGTGGAAGTGTAGAAGAGTGCAAAACACTAACAAATTCTCGCACTTGATTGTAAACAATCTTCTGAAGATATCTTAAGTATTCCAAAATTACTTTTTATGATAGCAAAAATAAATCACTAATGGTGTGAGATTGGTGCAAGCTTTCTTAATTATTGATGTTTACGTTTTACTGTATCCTTAAAGTGTCTGGGAACATTTGATTTTATGTTAACTTGATATTAAGTGTTTCTTCACACAAATATTTATGTTCTTCAATATTACATTCGGAGAGCAATCAAACTAGTTTCTTTTTTTTAGAGAATTAATTAATACTGCTAAATTCAACAATGAAAAACTTAATGTATTCATTGGTTGGAAAATCATCTGAAACAAGCTGCCCTTTCATCTGTTGTACCTAGAGTGCCTGTATTGAAAAGAGTGATGACAATATCCAAGAGCGCATGCGCTGCCGTTAGATTTTTGTCCAAGGGGGTTGCCAGATGATACACCGAAATTGGCGCCACTCGCTCATTTGGTGTTATTCTGAAGGTTCTGTCAATAATATAAACTTTAAGATTGGAAAGCACATGATATTACAGATTTTTTAAGAAACATTGTCTAGCATCTGAAATTGTTAAAAAATTAACGTCAATGGAAAAAAAAGACTTATGAAAAGACTTCAGCTTTTAATAAATGCCTTAAATAAAATATAAAAATTAATAATGATTATGCCATTTATTTCAGAAATAATAATTAATAA